AACTGATCTTAGGCAAAATCCAAACTGCACATGCATGTGCAGGCTTCATCTGTTCAAGTCTCTCCAAAAAACAGTAAAAATAGTCATTCTCTTGGGAAGATAAAAATTTTAAAGGAACAGAATTCCAAATGCCTGAAAGTGGAGACTGTCTTAATTAAGAATTTTGTTTTCATAAGGTGTGTGACCTTAGGCTTTAGTGTTGTCTGTTACATTCACAGAATTTAAAAATAGATTTACAATTTATATATGAGTCTGTTTTAACCCTTGAAAGAATGTTTTCATGCATCCTGTTGATTAGGAAGGCATTGAGGTAGGAATATGAGCTGTTGCTATTCCTTAATGTTCTTAACTTAGATTTGTCCATTTCAAGTAAATCTCAGGCATATAAATTTGCATTACTAATTAACAACTTGAGTGAAATTATGCATATTGTAAAAAATACAAACACTAACACTAAATGATTTGTCACGTATACCTTGTCTGTTTTTGTTTTCACCCATCTAATGTTTCCAGAGAAAAAAATATATTTATATATTACATATTATATTATATAGTATATATATTTTATATATTTTAATTATATCGTATCTATCTTCTATATTGTCACATGTACATAAATACATAGATGTTGCTGGAGAAAAAGCACAAGCATGCTGACAGATCTCACTTTTATCCACAGCCACAAATCTCAGATGGGCCCTCTGGTCAGGCTGGCCATCACAGTCCCTTCTCTAAGATCCTGTGCAGGTATCCCCTCCCTCCAAAATCATTATGACTGTTTTACTTCTCCCCTGCTCTGTTCAAATCCCCTCTCTGCCCCTCATCCTCCAGCCTCCTCTGCTGTCAGCAGAGCCTCATGTTGCATTGAAAAAAATGAAGCAACTTCATACAAAGTTGTCCCCTCCATGTCACCAAAACAGTTGTCACATCTTCCCTTAGCTGACCCTCCCTCCTTCCCTCCTGCCCCCCCCCACCATTTCTAAAGTGTAGGGAATTTTGCTCTTGTGAAAAGCAGTGTCTTCACATACAGTCCTGGTCTCAGCTCTCTCTCTGTTGTAAGCTAGGCTGAGTTTCTCCCTCTTGTCTGTATCTCCTCCATCATGGTCCAAACCGCCTCAGGAGCCTCCCATCTTAAAAACAACATTCTATTGACACTACAAACCCTCCAACCTCAGCTATATCTTCCCTTTACAGCAAGACTTCTGGGACAAGATGTCTGTAGTCAACCATCTCCATGTCCTTGCCTCCCACTCTCTTTTCAACTTTTTCTGATCTGTCCTCACTTAACCAAAACTGCTCCCCAGCACCTCTCCCATAACTCCTTGGTACAATCCCAGTGATTGTCTGTTCTCTATTCATCCTACTTGCTCTCTCAGCAGCATTTGACAATGTGAACCACTTCATGCCTCTAGAAGGGTTTCTCCCACAGCTTCTCCAGCATAAAACCTGACCTCATAGACTGCTGCTTCTCACTCATTCTTGAAGCTCAGCTCTTTCTCTGCTATTTCACTTCTAAATATATGACTGTCCCAAGCCTCATGCCTATAACCTTTTGATACACTACAAATTTTTCTTATTTATTTATATTATTCCCCTTATCCAGAATTTCACTCCTGTGCTTTCAGTTTTCCATAGTCAACCAAGATCTGATCTCTTAAATGGGTAATTCCAGAAATACACAATTCATAAGGTTTAAACTATATGCTATACTGAGTAAGTATGATGAAATCTCTCACAGTCCTGCTGTGTTTTGTCTGGGACTTGAATCATCCTTTTGTCCAGTGTATCCACACTACATACACTACCCATTCATTAGTCAGTTAGTAGCAAACTAACTGACAGTCAGATTGACTGTAGCTGCATCTAAGTCTTATGTGCAAGTATCTTAATATGAGTAGCTGTTCCATTCTATTATTGGTTATTGTTAATCTCTTATTGTGTCGAATTTATAAATTACACTTTATCACAGATATGTATATAAATGATAACATAGTATATATATGGTTTCAGATATCCACTCCAGGTATTGGAACATATGTCCCATATAGAAGCAAGGACTACTGTAGTTGTCTTTTCTCACCACAATATAAGTTCCAAAGGTACAGAGAGTTTTCCACTTTTTAACTATATTAAATGGGCTCATGCATGTAATCCCAGAGTTCAAGGGGCTGAAGCCAGATGATTTTGAGTTGAGCCAAGTCTGGGCTACGTAGTGTGACCTTGTGTCAAAAATGTATGTGTGTGTGTGTGTGTGTGTGTGTATTTCTATGGGCTAGAACTGTAACTCAGTGGTAGAGTACTTGATTACAATGTGGTTTGATCTCACCACAACAAAAAGGGAAAAAATATTGAAATAACCTCAATCTTTCCAAAAATTGGTAAGAAGTAGCCACTGGCCTTTTGTTTTTCTGAACTGTTTGAGAGTGCGTTGCCAACATAGTATCCAGTAACCCTGATTACTTCAGCAGGTAATTCCTACAAGGGCATTCTCCTGTATACCCTCAAAATAATCACTCCAATTAGGAAATCAAAGTGATACATTACTACCATCTAATTATCAGATACCATTCCATTTCATCAATTTTCCTAGGAATTCCTTCAAAACAAAAGTATCTAATTCCAGAATTGTGTGGTGTACTTGATTGTCTCTTTCCATATGGATCATTTTTTTAGTTGTCTTTTTTTTTTTCTTGATTTTTATGACCTGGACACTTGAAGACCACAGAGCAGTTGTATTGTAGACTGCCACTATGATTTTTCTGATATTCTTTTCTTTCCTTTTTTTTCTGTCTTTCTCTATTTTTGGTACTGTGGATGGAACTCAGGACCTTGCTGTACCACTGAACCACGTCCTCAGTCCTGATATTAAACTAGGTTATGCATCTTAGGCAGGAATGCTGCAGAAGTGATGCCCTTCTCACTGCAGTCCTTTAGGTGGCATGTAGTTCTGATCTGTCCCATTACTGATAGTGTTCACATGGAACACTTGACCAAAGATGATTTCTGCTAGTGATCTCCGTTGTAAAGTACTTGGTGGAGGAGACACTTTGAGACTGTTGCACATCAGAATTTCAATTTATATATCTATTACATTAGCCTTGACCCTTTGTTTCTATTCAATTATGAGTTATTATCCGTGATATCATTATTTTGATGTTCACATTGTTCCTGATTTGACCAGCGAGCCTTTGCAATCTGGTTTCAGTGCCTTCGTGATACAAACTCTCGTTCTTTGAGCACTTCTCTTTTATTGGCACAAATACTGTAAGGCTTATTTTGTCCTTTCCTCACTCCAGTCCTGGAATAACATTTCTCCAAGGAGCCCTGACTTCTTGTAGTACATAATAGTGTTTAAAAAAAAAAATCTGGCTGGCAGAGTGCTCAAGTGGTAGAACGCCTGCCTAGCAAGCATAAGGCCCTGAATTCAAACCCCATTACTACCACACAAAAAAAGGTCAAAGTAGGGGAAAGACACTTGTGTGACAGCTGAGAAGGAGAGATAGGACATATCCAAGAAGTATCAGGATACCCTAACAGGCTGATGAAAGAAATAACCCACCCAGAAATTAGCAAAAGTTTACAGAAGAAGGAAAGCAATATTTGTGAAAGATTTTGTTTTCATAAATATTTCTTAACTATTCTTACTATAATTAAACATCCAAACCAACGCTCTACTCTTATTCTGAGAATAAAATAAAAATCAGTATCAATCTTTAATTATTTTTAAAAGAAACTCAATTTTTATGTTGCTGTGTGATATTCTATACCACAAACTGAGCTCTTTGAGTGGCACTAATTATAAGTAAGCCCTCAGCACATCGCTTGTACTTCTATTTGGTGCAATCACTTAGAAACATTTTCTTAAAAGTTGTTAAATGAAATTATTAAAAATTATGATCAGTAGTGAGTTTCTACTTTTACTTGATAATGTTACTTTTAAATATTGGGCTTATATTGCTTCTTCTTGATTATTGCATTATAATTATTGATTTCCCAGGACAGAAGTTCAAGATTAAGCCCTAAAATCCTCCTCTCCCAGCCCTATCACACATGGCATCCTCCTTCAAAGCCCATCCTTCCAAATGTAATCATTATATATATTTACTTAGCCCTAAATACAAGTACTTTTCTTCTAGTGTTTTGTTTTCTGTAGAGCTAATAACTGCATGATTCTTAGGTCTGTTTGGTTCTCTGCGTAACTGTCCTTAGTTCAACCCTCAAACCTAATATTTAAGTCTCTCCTTGCATCTTCAGACACAAGTGGGTTTTTGTCCATTCCATCGTTGTTCTGATGGCAGTGTTTCTCAAAGACTTCTGAGTCTAATCTGGACGAGTTGCTGTCTATGCCTGCATTAGCTGCCATCCTGGCTCTTTCTTTCGGTATCATCTTGAGATTCTATGCTTTGCTCTGTATGCTTGATATTTTGTGTGTGTGTTTCCTGTATTTCATAATTTCCTTTTTTTTTTTTTTTTCTTTTTGCTCGTTTTGGTGGCTCGTGTCTCCAGGACCTACTTGGAAAAGGGTGCATGAGATTTTTGATGACTTAGCACGTCTGAAACTTACTCTGTGAACACCCTCGGTTGATAGTTGGGTACTGAGGACTAAATTGGAAGTATTTTCGTCAGGATGTTGAGAAGGACTTTATTTGCCTGCTAAGTCCCAATGTTGGCCCTGAGTAATCTAAAGCAATTCTGATTCCAGAGTCTCTATAGCCCGGACGTGTGGAGGATCTTCTTTTTATCCCCACATTCTCAAAGTTCATAATGATAAGCTTCGATGCTGATCAGTTTTTATCTGGGTGCTGGCAGCTTGGTAGAATCTTTCAGTGCGGAAACTCATATCCTTCAGTCGTAGACAGCTTTCTGAAATCACTTAGATAACAATTAGTGATCTTTTCTTTCAGTTTCCGCGTTCTCTCCACAACTCCTAAAACAGGGCCTCTCCCGTTGTCATGGCAGCGGCGGGGGCGCATGCGCGGTGAGCACGGCGGGAGCGCGAGCCTTAGCGCCTGCGCACAGCGCGCCGTCGCCCCTCCTCCCGCTGCGCTCTCCAGCCGCGCAGGGCTGAATGGCAAGCCCGGACCCCACGGGCCCGGAGGAGTCGGCCTTTGCTCAGCGCCGCGAGCCCCGGGTGACTCGTCGTCCTTCTGCCAGAAACCCTCCGTCCCGGCCCGCGTGGGAGAAGCGGGGCCTCTGAGGGGAGCGGCGATCCCGCCGGCCCCGGCGTCTTTCCCTGGCTGCGGCGGCTTCTTCCGTGGGACAATATGTTCAAGAGAATGGCCGAATTTGGGCCTGACTCCGGCGGGAGAGTGAAGGTCAGTGCTCGTCTCCGTGTGCGGCGGGGGCAGCGTGGTTCCCCGGGCGTCTTCTTAACTCGGGCGGGAAGCGCGGAACGCAGCCGAGAGCGAGTCCAGCCCCGCGCGAAAACTCGGTGCTCATTGGGCCCCGGCTCCGGTCGTCACCGCCACCCTCCCATCCCGGCCTGAAATTCAGCGTTCCCGGAAGTGGCCTGGGAGACCTGCGCGTGGCCGCCGGGAGGGAAGTCCCGGCCCGCTGCTCCTGGGCTGCCGGCTCCGGTCGTCGGCGAAGTGAGGATGCCACCCACCAGGTTGTGAGGACAGTGACAGTGCCGGATAGTCACGAGCGCCTACGGATTTGCAAATGGCAGGCTGCAGGAATCTGTAGTATTTGCAAATAGGATAACTGGGTGTAGATGTGCCCGACAGTCCCAAAGCTAAGGCCAAGTGTTAATCAGTCAGTGCAAAGACCTCAGTAGTGTGCCCAACACATGGGGAGCATTTAGCTTCTTTCCTGCTCAGTGAAGGTTGTCACAGAGCCTAACAAGATGTTGGACGTGGTGACAAGTAGGAAATTACTACCGAGGAAAACGGGTTAAATCACTGGATTATGGGGAAGAAGTTACAGATCTTTTCTCTACTTGTACCGTGTTAGGTTGTAGAAGATTGTAAATTTCAGTGCAGGATGACTTGAGGAAGTTAAGCCTGCAGTACTGGAATGATTTTCCACCAAAAATAGTCACGTGAAACTTCAAAATTAGGTTGTTATTTCTTCTCGATGTTTGGTGTGCATTCTTATGGGCCTCCTATTTAAGCTTAAATAAATTTAATCCAGGTAGAAAGTCTTTTGACAAGTGATGCCTGTTTCATCACGGAATAATTCTGAAAATTCCTAACAACACCATAGAAGTTGTGGGACCTATTGCATGCTCCCCAGGTCAGCACCCTTATATTCATTCAGTCAGACTTTGAACCGGAGGCCCCATCAGTGATTGCCAGCAGTAGCATTTACTATACTTAATCAAATTCACATAAGAACTTCCAGCCTTCTGAACTAACCTTAGATTTGTAAATTTGGGGTTTAATTAAGCTACCCAGCCATGTTTTGAAATTTTTCCCACTGTTTTCTCTACTTTTCCATATTTCTTACTAATAATTATTGACTTGATTGACAATTTTTCAAATATGTTGCTTCAGGTACATGCCTACTGTTAGACAGTTGGTCTCAGATTTGTTTGCAAAACTGTTTTATCTCTTCACTTGACATTTTAAATCTCTTCCTTTCAACACCCATCTCTCAACACTCATTGCCTTTATACTAATCAAATGTGATGAGAAATGTATATACATTCCAGAGCTGAGTGCAAATGTAGCAAGCATGCGTGCCACCAGGCCATTGTTACCAAGCTTGAGTCATAGAAGTGCCAGTTTACTGCAACATTTGTATTTAAATCTATTTGTAAAAGCTTCTTACTAAGCATGTTGAAATTGTGAGATCCAATTTCTAATTACGGTTTTTTTTTAATGTAGCTACAAAGTAAATACATTGTGTTAGTTATTTTTTCATTACTGTGACACAATACCTGAAAGAAACTATTTTAAAGGAAGAAAGGTTTATTTTGGCTCACAGTTTCAGAGGTCTCAGCCCATGGTCTCTTAACCTGCTGAACATCATATGTAGCAAGTAGCTGAACAAAGCTGCTTACCTCATAGTGGTCATGATGGTGGGGAAGCAGAGAACAAGGAAGGGACAAGATATACCTTTCAAATGCACCATCCCGTTGACCTACTTCCTCCAACTAAGCACCACTTTCCTAATTGACCATTCAGCTATGAACTAACTCACCAGAGAATTAATCTGTTCATGAAGTTAGCACCCTCAAGATCCATCCACCTTTCAGTAGCTCCATTGGGTGGGGACCAAATTTTCAACAAATAAGCCTTTGTGTGGGAAACTTTATATCTAAACCATGACACACATAGTAATAAAATGGGGGGGAGGGGAAATGTTTACCCTTCTTATATTTAAAATTCACTCCCAGATTGCCTTTGATTTCTGTACTGTGGTAAACACAAACCAATTAATATGATTATTACCATTAAGTGGTGCAGTTACTTTTTTCAGAAGCCTTGCTTTCAGGTTTGTAGGTAAAGAGCCTTTTGTGTTTCTTTTAACAAAACTCTCAAGTACTTTACATCGTGATTTAAAACATTTTAAAATATGGAATATTGTAATTAATCTGGTGTTTCTTGTGTAAATATGAAATAGGAATGTGTGAAATCAATTTGAGGAAAATCCATGCTTTAACTGAACTAAATTGTTAGATTGCCATTCCTTAAAACAGCTTTCAAAGTTCTCGGCCTGTTTGTTTATGTAATGATACAGTACTTAATGGCTTTTAAATTATCTTTCTTTTAGGGAGTTACTATTGTTAAACCTATAGTTTATGGTAATGTTGCTCGATATTTTGGAAAGAAGAGAGAAGAAGATGGGCACACCCATCAGTGGACAGTCTATGTAAAACCTTACAGAAATGAGGTAGGCACCTGTTTCTACTGTAACTTTTTTTGAAGCTATAGTTTGTTTTGTTCACAGATAAATTGGCCTGTTAGAGAAATGTTGTCTCCCCCTAAATTTGAAAAACTAAAATGAGAATTTAGTTTTTCAAATCTTCATGAAATTAGTAGAAATCAGTTTTCAAAAAATGTTTTCTAACTAAAATTAAGATAACAGAGTTACCCTGCTATAAGTACAGTACAAGTACACCTTCCAGACATCACACTTAAGATTGTATATAATCAGCTATTTCAGGAATAGCAGTTAATACTTGATGTGATAATGTGTAAAAAATAAAAAACCACCAGAGAATGTGAAAGACATATCTGCTGCAATCTGATTACTGGTAATTTTGTTTTGCTGCTGAATCTCAGTGCCTGCAAAACAGCTAGTACATAGTAGATGTACTTAACATGTATTTATTGAATTGAATAAAGTTAATCAATCTGAATGTAGCAGATTGATTCCATAATTACCAAAATAGGTACAGTCCAAATGTCTCTGTGATGAATGGATAAATGAAATGTACATCCATGCAATGGAATATTATTAGACAATAAAAGAAATTAAAGTACTGATACCTGCTGGCACCTGGGTGAAAGTTGTGGGCGTTATGCTGAGTGAAAGAAGACAGAAAATGCCACATTTTGTATGATACCATTTAGATGAAACATCCAGAACAGGCAAATCGATAAACACAAAAAATAGATTAGTGATTGCCTGTGGGTGGGGGTAGGAGGGAAGTTGAAAGTGCATACTAATAGGTATGGGGTTTCTTTTTATGTGATAAATGTTCTGAAACCCCGATTAGGGTGCTGATTGTACAACTAATAATTGCACACCTTAGTTAGGTGATGCCTAGTGCCTAAGGGTAAGACCTTACTTTATATGCCATTGTTAATTAGCATCTGACAACAATATTGGTAGACACTCAGATATTTGTAGAATGAGTGAAGTATCACCAAAAGAATCTTCAAAGAAGCTTATGAAAATCTGCCTCAGAAAAAATCCTTACAATATAACAGTAGACAAAAACCAAGTTATTAAATTATAATCCCATTTTTAATAATATATTTGTAGAGCTGGTGCCTCAAACCTCTAATCCCAGGTATTCAGGAGGCAGAGATCAGAAAGATCATAGTTCAAAGCCAGCCAGGGCAAAAAATTATCAAGACCCCATCTTAACAAAAAAGCTGGGCATAATGGCACACTTATGTCATCCCAGCAATGTGGGGTGGGTGAGTTGGAGGATAGCAGTCCAGGCCCACCTGAACAAAAATGTGAGACCCTATCTGAAAAATGGCTAATGCAAAAAGTGCATGGCTAGCCAGCCCAAGGCCCCAAGTTCAAACTCCAGTACTATAGATATAAGCACATTTTTAAATACCCAAAAATAAGTAAGAAGGTAGAAAATGTTAGTATTGGGTGTGACTTACTCTATTTTGCATTTTTTAATTTTCCTATAATGAATTATATAAATTGTGTATGTGTGTGTGTGTGTGTGTGTGTGTGCATTTTAGTTTTCGTTTTTGAGACAGGGTCTGTATAGCCCTGGCCTTGAACTCACTATCTTCCTGCCTCAGCACCTCAAGTGCCAGGATTACGGGTGTGCACACCTTGCCCAGCTGATGAAAAAAAGCACTTTACTAGCAGAAGCCTTTTTATATGCTGGAACTATAAATGTGGCTCCATGCTTCACGTAAAATTAAGAAAAGGAGGAGTTGTTGTATTGTTTTTAAGTTTGCCTTTGTTTGTTGTCCTTACCTTCATGTAATATAACTTTGTTCTTTTTTGGAAGGCGATACTGTGAATTAGACTCAGGGCCTCACACTTACTATGCAGGTGCTCTACCACTTTAGCCACTCTGCCAGCCATTTTTGTGTTGGTTACTGTTTTGTTTTGGTTTTGGCAGTACTGGAGATTGAACTCACTGCCTCAAGCTTGCTTGGGAGGCACTCTGCCATTTGGGCCATTCCATGAATTGTGTTGATTATTTTTGAGATGGGGTCTCACCTTATGATTGGGCTGGCCTGGAACACAATACTCTATTTGTGTTTCCCCCAAGTAGCTGGAATGATAGGCATATAACACCAAACACACCATTGACTGAGACATGATCTTATGAACTTTTTTGCCTGGACTGGCCTCAAACTGAGATTCCCCTTAGTCTCCACTTCCTGAGTAGCTAGGATTACAGTCTTGAGTCACTGCATCTAGTCTATAATTTTGTTCTTTTAAGGTGACTGTCAGGAGGCAGAGGCAGGAGGATCTCTGAATTGAAGTCTAGCCTGGGATACATAGCAAGACCCTGTCTCAAAAATCTTTTAGGGCTGGAAGTGTGGCTCAAGTGGTAGAATGCCTGCCTAGCTAGCCCAAGGTTCAGAGTTCCAACCCTAGTGCTGCCAAAACAAAAAGTCTTTTTTAAAAACTTGAGGACAGATATCCTTTGGTTTATATGATTATTTCTATAAAAATATCAGAAATCTTACTATTGTCCTTGTGAGAAAGTCAAAACTGATTGAGTGTATTGAGTGTATTATGTATTGAGGTATATAAAATCAGGATTTGAAGCAAGGTGTGGTATGCACAGCTATAATTCCAGCACTTAGGAGGCTGAGGCAGAATTTTGTTTTTTAAAGGTGACTATATATCAGGAGGAAGAGGCACACTGGGCTGCATAATGAGACACTGTCTCAACCCATCTTCCCTGCAAAAAAAAAAAAAAAACCCAGGATTCCCAAAACAAGTGAGTAGGGGTATGTGTATTTTCTTGTATGTTATGAATTATTAAAGAACTCAGCATAGGCTTCCTTTGTTTATAAAAAAGAAAAGAAAAACCACTCCCTAGGAATAATTCATGACTCTCTTTTTTGTCATTTCATTTTGTTTAGTTACGTTTGTGGTACTGAAGAATGAACCTAGGTCCATTGAAACTATATTTTGACATAGGGTCTTGCCAAGTGGCCCAAGCTGGCCTTCAATTTGGGATCCCCTTGTCTCAGCCTCCTGATTAGTTGAAGTTATAGGTTTGCACCACTGTGCCCAACTAATCCGTGTTTTGTTTTGTTTTTTTAAATTGGGTTCCACAAAATCTGAGGGAAATGTTGAGTGTTATTTCTATTCTAGTTTTTACAGATGGAAGATAGAACTTACTTTCTCTGTATTTTAGGATATGTCAGCATATGTGAAGAAAATCCAGTTTAAATTACATGAAAGCTATGGTAACCCTTTAAGAGGTATAGTACAGTCTTTTGATTCCTAATATAGAAAGTTTAAAAAGGACCAAGAAATTAAATCAGTAATTTGCAGTTTCTTTTTTCTCCTCCTCTATTTAGTTGTGACTAAGCCTCCGTATGAAATTACTGAAACAGGATGGGGTGAATTCGAAATAATCATCAAAATATTTTTTATTGATCCTAATGAAAGACCTGTAAGTAATATATTAATTTTGCAAGTAAAAAATAGTTTTTTTCAGTAAAAGTGTAGGTGTAATAATACTTGTTGGATAGGTAGTGTTTATTCAGATGTACTTGTATAAGCTTATGACTTGTGTATCTTGCCATGAATTAAGGTTTTCCATTTTTAAGTGAAACCCCTTTTCTTCCCTCAAGAATGGAAAGAGAATATGAGCATATATTGGAAATGAACTATGGAAATTAGATGATATGCAAAAAAAATTAAATTTTAATTCATTATTGTCATTTAGTTATTAGCAATAAACAAGTCCATGTGCTATCTAAAAAGAATATTCATTTTTTATGGTTAAACCCTTTAAAACAGTCTTTTTGGTTTTTTAAGCTGTAATCAGTATCAACAGCTTTATTTTATGTCTTGTTTGCAAATCCTTACTTATAGCTAACTTTTTCATCTTTTGATCTGTTACCAGATTATTGCTTTATAATATTAAAAAAACCTCTCCAAGCTTTTGCTTTGAACCCTCAGCATTTGTGAGGTTGGCAGTATTCCTTATTTTAGAGATAAGGATATTAAGGCTCAGAGGTCAAGTTGTGCTCAGAAACTCTCAGTTAATTGTGGTAGGACAAGTTTTTGAATCCAAGTATTTGAATTCAGATTTAACACTCTTTCTAGTATTTTTTCTTTTTCCTAAGACCCTAAGCCTTGTTTTAAATATATACCTGTATAAAGTTACAACTCACTTATGGCTAATTCCACCTATGTGTGTCTAGGGTTTAATATTTATCACCATTCATTTTCATCTTGTTAGAACCATCTCATTCTTTTTGGCACCAAACTTTTACACCTTAATTATTCAGGATACAGATTTTTAACCTTATGTGCTTTTAAAGGAGTAGAATATCAACTGGGCCAGTTGTTCAAAGATCCAGTTCCTAACTGGAGGCATCAGAAATGCCTGGGGTACCCTAAAAATTCAGATTCTAGGCCTTATCCCTGTGAGAGTCTGATTCTATAGATTTTGGAGTGGGGCCAGAAGCGCAGATGATTTTTTTGATGCACAGTGAAACTTGAGGCAGTCTCCCAAATGAGATTCTAGTTTGGGTTTGCACATCTCCACTATGGAGAATTGACTTTTGTCATTAAATGAAACGTCCTATTCAATTTTGGAGTAGTTGTGGGTTTAGGAAGGCTGTACTTGCCAGGTGGCAGTGACTCAAGTCCATAATCCTAGGTACTTGGATGGCTGAGATTGAGAGGATTAAGGTTTGAGGCCAATCCAAACCACTCCCCCACCCCATCTCCAAAATAACTAGAACAAAATGAACTGGAGGCGAGGCTCAAGTGTTTGCAAGTGTGAAGTCCTGCCTTCAAAAGAAAAGAAAAAAGAAAAGAAAGCCGTACTTTATGTTATGCTTCCTTAAAGTTTCATTGATAATTCTTCATATGTTAGTTTTCTTTTCTCTTGAATTAAACATTCATAGCTCCTTTAAATATTTTTTCATGTGATAGGTTTACAGATCTACCATGCTTATTGTCCTTCTAGAACATTCTCACAGATACTCTGTTTGGCAAGAAATTGTGAAATATCCATTATTTCAAGATACTGTTTAAGGAATTGTGAAGGATACAAAGATGAGATACTGTGTCTGACTTTAGTGAGAACACTCTGTTAGGGAGAACAGGGCATAGAATTCAGCAGATGTTAAGAGGAGAGAGAGGGCTGGCAGAGTAGCTCATTGGTAGAGTACGTGTCTTGCAGGCATAAGGACCTGAGTTCAAACTCCAGTTTAAACTCAGAAAAATAAAAAAGAGAAGAGGAAAAGCTCGTGAGGTTTGGTTTAAATAGCAGAAGGCTTTTTGGGTTTTTTTGAGACCCGTTAGCTGGGCTCAGGCTGGCCTCAAACTTCTGATCCTTCTTCCTCAGCTTCCTTAGTGCTAAGATTACAAGCATGCACTGTGAAGCTCTTTTTAACTTTGTAAGATTGCTCTGTTTTTATTTTGAAAAAATGCTCCTTTAACTCTCTTCCTCCTAATTTGTCATCCTCTAACCCAAATTGGAAAATATATCTGTGAAAGAAGTTATATTTTGTATCCTCTTTATGAGACAGGTCTTAAAGTCATTCTTGGAAAGGTAAAATAATACGGTCTGTTGCACTGCTGTAGTGATTAATCTGTTGCATAAAGTTCTAAACAGATCTACATAGGTTTAAATTTCATTCCCTAAAAATTGGTATAGTGTTCTTTTTAGTATAATGAAACAATTGTATTTTTCAATAACTGGCTCTTAAAATAGGCCATATGAAGGTTTGCTTCAAATACAAAAAAATTATAAATAAAAGACATAGTAGTTTGTGATTTACTGTTTCCAGTAACCTATTATAGGTCATGCACTGTAAAAAAATAAAAGCACAATGCTAAAGCTGAGGTTTCCTTCCTGAAAACAGAAGTTTTTCTAGTTAATTATAGGCAGTTCCATTGCACTAAGAATCATCAAACACCACTTAAAATTAGAAACATTTGTCTTACATTCTTTTATTGATTGAATTTCCATGAATGTCTTTGGAAGTCTGAATAATAAATTTAGTAGACAGTTTTATGATGTAATTCTTAATTTGTTTTAAATTATAAAAGGAAAATGTATGTGGTATTTTAAAAGATTTTTAAAAAGTCAGGAAGTTAGCTCAGTGGAGAGCCTAGTTTTGGTCCCCAGTACTGAGTGGGGGGAGTGCAGTCTCCTGTATTAATTTCCTGGTACCACAACTTAGATGGCTTAAAACAACAGAAATTTATTCTCATAGTTTTGGAGGCTTGAAGTCTGAAATTAGGGTGTTGATTATAGTCTTTCCGAAACCTCTAGGGGAGGATCTTTCCTTGCCTTTTCCAGTTTTTGGTAGCCCTTGGTGTTTCTTGTCTTTGGGCAGCATAACTCTAGTCTCTTTCTCCATGACACATGGCCTTTTCTCTCTCCCTGTCTGTGTCTCCTCTTGTTAGAAGAACACCAGTCATACTCAATTGAGGGCCCATGCTAATGACTTCATCTTAACATCTACAAAGACCCTGTTTTCAAGTAAGGTCATACCCACAGTACTAAGACTTAGGACTTCAGCATATCTTTTTGGGGGAACACAACTCACAGCATCTTCTTTTCCCATCTCCCACCCCTTCCCCAGGAAAACTACTTTTTAACAGTTACTGTTTTAGTCCCTCTAGAAATTACCCCCATGCCTCTCATATATTAAATTTCTAATTTTGAATTTTACAATTTCAGGTAATACCTGTTATTACTAAGGATGCCAGGTGATTTCTTTTCCTTCTTTTCAGGTTTCTTTAATTTTTTTTCTCCTTTTGCTGGAGGAATTTCTTTAAAGAGGATGCTTGAGAAATGAACTTTTAAAAAGCTATTGCCCAAAAGAAAATGTCTACATTTCTCCTTCATACTTGACTGTTGATTAAAAAATTCTAAATTCAAAGGCAGATGCACTGTGTTTTCTGTAGAGGAGGAAGAAGGGAGGATCAACAGGCCCATCTACCTTACAGCTTTCTTAATAGTGATCCTTCAGCCCTGAGCTTGGTGCCTCTCTGAAGCTCCTAGGAGCTTTGATGACATCTGCTTCCTTAAGGTTTCAGGTTGTGGTTTTTCTCTGTTATGACTTACTGTCCTATTATATATTAGCATCTGCTTTCTGTCTATTCCAGAAACTTAATAAATGATCTCTTTTAAATGACATGTAATTTGTGCTATCTAATTTTGTCTATACCATTAGTGGAATTTGGTGCATTTCCCCTCTCCCTTTTCTGTATTCTCTGCCGCCACCATTCCACCACAACACCCCCACCCTCCCAGGAATGGCAAGTGCTCTGCAACTGAGTAGTCCCTTCTATATTCTCAGTGTACCATCTCGAATCTGGAAAAATGTCCTCTAAGTAGGATACTCCATGGGCTAAATCTTGTCCAGAGACAACTGACATTTCTTTGAGTTGAGCTAGATTGTTCAAATTCAGTTGCAAAGGTTTGTGTATTTTCTGGCTTCTTTGGGGTACTCTCCTCCCTTTTTTGTGATCATTTTAAAGAATAGCATTCTTTTATAATCATTTTATCTAACCTTTTGGAAAATTCTTTGAGGCCTCTGAAATGCCTTATGCAACTTCAACATGAACTCTGATGTTTTGCCAGCTGCTTTTTGTTTTGCTAAAATAATCACACATTGTACTGCAGAGCTTTTCCTTTGATGTCTTACTACACCTGCTTTAAGTGTTTGAAGACATGTTGCTCTTGCCAAAATGAATTATCACCAACCATCTTTTTTGTTTATTATGTTACCTATGTAATAATCTTATGATCCCTAGAGTATTTTGCTCTCACTGAACATTTTAATATTGGTTATTCCTTTTGAAAATGTATTTTTTTCCTCACATAAATTTGTAAACTCTAATCTTCACAGACAGCTGATACAGTTAATCTAATTTCTCTTATGCAAGGAAAATAATTTATGCCTTAATGGTTCTCTAAGTTTAATTTCCATAGCTGTATCTTGTGCTGTTTTTGTTTATAGTTAATTCTCTAGAGAGGCCTAAATAAATCCTTACTTCTTCAAAACATTCCCTGTTAAATAGAGTGGGAGGATGGTGGTACCTAATAGGAAAGTAAAAGGATTATGTGATTTGCCACAGTAAGTTGCAGTTGAAACAAGATCCTGAATTTAATATGTTTACTGTTTCAAGACTCTAATTCACTTAAAGAAATGACAGTGTCTCATAATGATGATGAAAACCATGCATAGATGTGATATTGTTTTCATTTTACAGGTAACCCTATATCATTTATTAAAGCTGTTCCAATCAGATACCAATGCAATGCTGGGGAAAAAGACAGTGGTTTCAGAGTTCTATGATGAAATGGTAAGATTTTATAGTGAGAGTTTTAAAAGCATTTTAAGTTGGAGAATTTCACAGTTATTTGGCTTTTTTTTTTTTTTTTCATTTTATCTCTTAAGATATTTCAAGACCCAACAGCAATGATGCAACAATTATTAACAACGTCTCGTCAGCTAACATTAGGAGCATATAAGCATGAAACAGAATGTAAGTGCCATGTATTTATAATTAATCCTGGAAAATAATGTATTCTGTAATGGTGGAAGGAGTGTTTGATTAGTGGGTATTACATTCTTTTTTAATGATGTCGGTAAATTTCTTAAGGGGTCAAAAGGTATATGGTACTGTAGAACAAGTAAGATTTTTCAGGTTGGGGAGCAGTACTGGCGTTTGAACTCAGGGCCTTATGTTTGCTAGGCAGTCACTCTATGAGGAGGGGAGAGAAAGAGAAACACAGAGACAGACATCTGCATAGTAATTATAATTTTGCCAGTTGGTTGCCATTGAGAATTTGTTTACTTAAATTTCTACATCTACAAAAGTATTTGTCTGACCTACTTTGTTATGCGTGTAAAAGGGGTATTCATATGATCACCTTGAAAAGGTGGAAAGCACTACCTATGTGATACTTTAATTTATTGATCACTTTCTCTTGTTCATGAATCCTCTTTCTGTAATATAAAATGTACTCAATTCACAGAAGAAATCTCTGTTAAAATTCAAGTACCCACATTTTTGTCTTCAGCAAAACCATTAACTTATGTGTAATAAGTAGATACAGGACTGGAGGCATGGCTCAAGCAGTAGAGCACCTGCTTTGTGAGTGTGAAGCTCTGAATTCAAATCCCAGTCCCACCAAAAACAACAAAAAAAAGTAGATACAAAAGGTGTGTTTTATGAAAAGGCCCGTTCTATAAATCTGATTTATTAAAGCTTATGTGTAGAACTTCTAACTTTGAGAAGTTTAATCAGTAAATTATGTTTTGTATTATCTTCAGTTCATTTTCTTAACAATATAAAAACAGTAAGAAAGAAAAAAGTTAATTCCATAAGTGGTGTTGTTGCAGTTGGTGAGCTTCTAGGAGAAAACTTAATTTAGATAATTGCTTCATAGTTCTTGCCAAAACAAATTCCAGTTTAATTAAAGAAAGTTATATGGTTTTTTTTTTAATGAACCTGTTTTTTAAAAATTAGATTATGATCCACCCTAGCTAGGAACAACTTTCTAAATTTAAAGATTTAGAAGAAATTACATTAAAGGAAAGGCAAAGAAAAATGAATTTACAGAACATATGGGAAAGGGTTAATATATTTATTTTAGAAAATAAAAATAAGAAAAACCATGTTTAGCATTCATAAGGCGCCACAGAAACTAAAACAAAACCTTAAAATTGATAAATAGAAAAAAATGTAAACTTTAATAACTAAACTGGCAAAAGACATAGATAGGTGGAAGAAAAAAATAGCCAATAAATAAAATAGGCAAATATTTGTTCCTGCTAGTAATTTTAAAAATCAAACCCAACAGTAATGAGTAAACTATATTTGCCCTATCAAATTAGCCAAAGGGATTTTTAATAGTTAGACCTATTAATGATATGGTGAATGTTGCATTCTTATGAATCATTTGCATTAGTATAAATTATTTTAGGTTTTTAGGAAAGCTATTTGGGAATATTAAAGACCTAAAAAAGATAGCTATACTTTTACTAATTTTATATCATTATACCCAATATTTGGTAATAAAATATCAGATTTACTAAGTTCTTACTATTTGTACACTTCTAGTCTATACATGTAAATACTCATTTGTTTCTACAACTACTTTATTAGGTAATCCTGTTTAGAAAGGGAAACTAATGATCTGATTTTTAATTGTATTAATTGACTCTTTAAGGAATTTTTTAAAATGATAGCAAACATTTACTGAAATGTCCCAGACAAATGCTTTACATTTGTCAACTTACTGAATACCTATAACGACCCTAGGAGGAAGGTACTATGATTAGCCCCATTTTTTATGTAGAGGCCTTAGAGACATTGGACATCTTGCCCAAAATTACCCAGTGAAGCCTGGATTTAAACCCAGAGCGTGTCCTGTTAACTAATAAGTTACAGGATCTCGTTGCTGGTTAATTCAGGTCTTCCAAATGTATTGTTCCCTTTGCAGTCTTCACAGTTGTTAAAAGTATTGTGGCTAAGTCATCCAAGAATCTGTTAATAAATGCTGTCCTCCTGACAATTGAGTTAAATTAGTCTCACTGACTACATTTAAATCTACCTTTTACAATCTTACAGATCTCCCAAATGTATATATCTCACTTCCATGACCTGCTATGTCCACTTCGCCTACCTAACTCCTTTCTCATTCTTTAAAACTCAGTTTAGATTTTACTAATGCCAGGAAGCCATTCTTGATACATATGTACCATTCTTCCCCGCCAGGAAGCCATTCTTGATACATATGCACCATTCTTCCCCTTTTGTTTTTGCAGTACTGGTGCTTGAACTCAGGGCCTTCACCTTGAGGCACTCCACCTATTTTTGTGAAGGGTTTTTTGAGATAAGGTCTCTCTAACTATTTGCCCAGCCTAGCTTTGAACTTTGATCCTCCTGATCTCTGCCTCCTGAGTAGCTAAGATTATAGGCATGAACCACCAGTGCCCAGCCTATTCTTCCCCTTCATGTGAATCCAGCCTGTTGTGGCTCCCTGTGGTTTTTCATAACACTACTGCATATTTTTCTTGCCTCTCTCCTACCTCTGTACCCCAACATTTAACAAAGTACCGAACTATCACTCAACATTGATGGGCTTTTTTTGTTTAGTGTTTTTTGTTTGTTTGTTTGTTTTGACTGATATGGGATATAAAGAAATAAAAATTTCTGCATAATAAAAAACACTGTGGACCTCAGTGTGGTGATACATAGCTATGATCCCAGTGTTCAGGAGGCTAAGGCAGGAGGACCAGGAGTTCACAGTCAACCTGGGTTACATAATGAGTTACAGGCCAGCCTTGACTACATAGTAAGATCCCATTTCAAACATCAAAAAGTCAATGAAGGAAATTCCAAAGAAAAATACGGATTGTTTTGACAATATGGAAATTTTTTTCTGTTGCAATATACGTCCAAAAATTGAGTTAACGACAATGAGCAATATAAGGAAATCACTCAGTATTTATTGCTTTTTTTATGTGCTAAATGCTTTAAATGTTAATTATTTCATTAAAAAATGTAGAATAAATTGAGAGAAACTTAAGAGATGTCTACATTTGTCTAATAAGGGACCAAGGGTGTATTTTAACTCAAATCTTTCTGATTTCAAAGTTGGAGGTTTTTTTCACCAAACCACCCTACTGCCAATTACTGACCATCATTTTTTTTTTTTTTTTTTTTTTTTTTTGGTGGTACTGGGGTTTGGGCTTTGAACTCAGGTCCTACACCTTGAGTCACTCCACCAGCACTTTTTTTGTGAAGGGTTTTTTCAAGATAGGGTCTCGAGAACAGTTTGCTCAGGCTTGCTTGAACTGAGATCCTCTTGATCTCCCTCCTGAGTAGCTAGAATTACAAACACGCTCACAGCTAGTGACCATCTTTCATAATTGCGAAAATACAACTGTACTTCATTAGTCACCAGCAGAAATTACCTAAAATGTCCACAAGATGGAGCAGTTGGATGCAAGCAGACATTTTTCCTTGTGAAACATAATGTTACACTATCCAATTGTCATATTTAAATAGATGTATTATAGTTTTCAGTAAGGACACTTTCTTCAGTGATTTTTATGGACCCAGCCAGAACTTTTGTTTTTATGGTGTTGGGGATTGAATCCAGGGCCTCATACATACTAAGCAAGGGTTCTGCTATTGAATTATATCACCAACTACTAGAATTTTTCAAATTTTACTTCATGTTCCTTTGTCCTCATTGGTCATCATAATAATAGTTGATAGGGCATTTGATGTGCCAGATAGTACTCTAGGTACTTTATATACATTAATTTATGTAAAATCTTCTCAAGAGATAATATAAGTCATGTTCCATTATAATTGCTGTTTTGTAAGTGAGGAAATAAGCATAGAAAGGTAAAATTTAGTGTCACACTAGTAAGTGGTAAAATTTAGTGTCACAACTAGTAAGTGGTAGAGCTAAAATTCAAATTTAGACAGTTATTTTTGAAAAAAAAATAAGCTTATTTTGACAGTGTGATTTTGTTTTATGTAAGTTTTACTTGTACATAAGTTAGGAATACTTTTAGTTAGCTCTCTCCTTAGCTAGTGTCTCTTGGGTTTGTATACCCCTTATTTCCAAAGGAATATGTATATGGAGAAAAACAAAGAAATAATGTCTCAAAACCTTAACTGTGAGTTAGTGGCCAGAATTTCATTCTTAGTTGTAGAAAATAGCTTAGCTTCTCTGTTAGAAATCTGGACTTTACCTTCTCCCATCAACCCATATTTAATGTTAATGTATCTTAAGTTGTCTACATTTTATCATGGAAACATTGACCTAAGGAAATACTATGTTTATTACTCTAGGACATATCTTAAACATATGAAAAATAATAAATAAGTACATGTATTTGTTTTCCTTAGTTGCAGAACTTGAAGTGAAAACCAGAGAAAAATTAGAAGCTGCCAAGAAAAAAACAAGCTTTGAAATTGCAGAGCTTAAGGAGAGATTAAAAGCAAGTCGTGAGACTATAAATTGTTTAAAAAATGAAATCAGGAAGCTTGAAGAAGATGATCAGACAAAAGACATATAAACAGTTCTGAAGAGAACTTATTAGTAAGACTTAAATGGCAGAATGAACTTAATGCAAATGCTGTGACGTTTCCGAGAGGAACTGCATGTATAATTGTCGACCAGGGATGTCTCAGCAAGGAGTCAAGGTATTCATTCTATTTAAGCAATCTTTAATGGGAAATATATGTGTAATAATGGATGCTCTCTATAGGCATTTCACCTTCCCATTTTTAGAGAAATTGTATGATGGTAAGCACAATTTTTAAAAGTTTTTATTGGGGTATGTGTGTAGCTTATTTTCCTTTTGGCAGGCATCAGAATTTCATTATAAAACACAACTTGTACAAATTTTCTATTTCTCTAGTAGTTAGAATTAGTGAAAAGATTAGTATGTGTATTTACTTTTTTTCAAGTTTGTATCTGCTCCCATCCCATTTTATATATAATGTTGTTGCCCAATATGTATTCAATAAATGTAGTTTATGGGTCCTATTTCTGCTTCTTGGTGTGTGTTTTTTCCTCTTTGAAGACTTTCTGGAGCTCCCTCAGTACAAGTAATATATCTCATAGAATTGTGACTTTATATCTTTATTCAAAAACACCTCATTTCTTTGTAAGTTTTGGTATTTGTAAGCATTATAGGTTTCTAAAGCGTGAAATTTCTACCAGAGCCCTCTGGGACTTGAGGTTGGCACTTACATTTGTTGCTAGTATCCACCTTTTAGTCCGTTGCCTCCAGGCCCATGAGGATAAGATTGACCACACTGTAGGGTAAGACCTGGGACAGATGAGAAAAATTAACACGGAAGAAGTTTCATTCTTCTTGAGAAACCTTAACATGGGAGATCATCCCTTTGTTCATCAAACCAGAGCCCACGTAGACAGGTGTGACTTTATGCAAGCATGACTGTAAAAGTTCAGGGTATCACCGTTCCTCAGGCTTTGCCCCGTCAGCTCTTATTGCTGTGTCGGCTATAATCTTGAAAAGATCTCCCCATTATGAGGTTATAAAGAGCGCCTATAACTCAATGATTTAAAAAAAAGATTTTTTGTTTTTTGTTTTTTGTTTTTTTTTTTGAGGTACTCGGTGTTGAACTTAGGGCCTCACGTTCACTAGGCAGGCGTGTACCACTTGAGCCACTCCACGTTTTGCATTGGTTATTTTTGAGATAGGATCTGGTTTTATGCTTGGGTGAGCCAGGACTGCAGTCCTATTCATGCTTCCCCAACAAGCTGGAATGATAGGTGAGTACCTCCACACGTGGCCATTAGTTGAGATGTGGTCTTGTGAACTTTTTGCCTGGGCTAACCTTAAACTGCAGTTCTCCCAGTCTCCACCTCTTGGGTAACTGGGATTACGGTCTTTAGCCCCCGTGTTCAGGAATGGGCAAAGGCTTTGAATAGTGTTTCCCCAAAGAAGATCTAGAAATAGCCAATAAGAACATGAGAAGATGTTCAACATCATTTGTCAGGAAAACGCAACTTAACTACAATGAAATTCTACTCCACACCCACTAGCATGGCTGTACTTTTTTTTTTTTTTTTTTTTTTTTTTTACATTTACTCACATGGGTATACATTGTTTGGGCCACTTCTCCCTTCCCGCCCCTCCCCCATGGTTGTACTTTTAATAAAACAAACAGAAAAGTTGATGAGGATGTAGAGAAATTGGAACCCTCATATACCACTAGTGGGAATGTAGAGTGGTGCAGCCAGATTGGAAAATATTTTGGTAATTGATCAAAAACTAAGTGTAGGCAGACATTATGGGGGATCAGGAATTTGAGCCCATTGGGCTACCATAGCAAGACCCTGTGTAGGGAAAGGAAGGAGAGAGAAAAGCACAATGAACAAAGTCTAAAGAGGGGCAATCATGGAGTGTCACAGATGACTAACATGAAGAGCCTAACAAACCAATAAAAAAGCTAATACTCCTATAGAAAATGTGTCTTAGGCATATAAAAAGACGTGATGGCACATGCCTCTTTTCTCAGATACTCAAGAGGCTGAGGCAGGAGGATCACAAGTTCAAGGCTAACCTAGGGAACATAGCAAGAATCTGTCGCAAAAAAAAAGTAAGCATACTTATTCAATGACCCAGCAAGTCTACTTCTAAATAACGTATCCCAAAGAAGTGAAAACACAAAAAAGTTGTACACAAGTGTTCAGAAATTGCCAATAGGAAACCACCGAAATATCTATCAGCTGAAGAATGAGTAAAGTGGTATAACCATGTGATGGAATATTATGGAAAGGCAGCACTGATTGTGCTACACGAATGAATCTTGAAAACATTATGCTAAGTGATAAAAGTCAGACACAAAAAGCAACATATTATATGATTCCATATGTATGAAATGTTCAGAAAAGACAAATCTATAAAAAATAAAGTTGATTAGCCAGGGGATGGAGAAAAAGGGAAATGAAGAGGGTTTCCTTTTGGGGCGATGAAATTCTCTGGGTGGTAATAGTTGCACAATCTTCTAAATGTGCTAAAAACATTGAATTGTATATTTCAAAATGGTTAAAATGGTATTATGTGAACTTAGTAAAAAAATTTCATTCGTTAGTTTTGTTTAGAATTATAAGAACCTTTAAAATATTCTACAAAATACTAATTTCTATTTCCCCATTCTTCCACAAATGGAAGAGACTATTTGCCAAGGAATAATTCCTTCACTGAGGTAAAAACTAAGAACAATTAAAAGAAGCTCAGCTAATTAGGCAGCTCATTTCTTTAAAGAAGATCAAAGTATAAGTCTCATTTTTCTAAGCAGTGCGGGTAGTTGGTGCTGTTATCCACATTGGACAGATAGGAGATTAAAGTGTTATTGAATCAACCAGCAATGACTCAGTCTAGCAATCTACAACTGTGGTCTCTCTGCCTCAAGAATACTTAAGTCTCATGTTCAAAGTGCTAACATTTTTAATTGTTCCTCATGCTTAAATACTTCTCAATCCCCTTTAATTTAAAACTATTGCCAAATAATGAAAAACAGGTGGAATAATTCAAAGAATCTTGCTAGTCATTCACTAATGGGAAAAGAGTTTACATGAGAAAATTCTGGTGCCTAAGTCCTATTGAATAGAACCGTAAACAATGGATATTTGAAATCTGTGAAGACATGTCAGGTATATATTAATATGTTAATGTTATGCCAGTGTCCCCAGTTTTGTTTCCTAATAGACTTCAAACTGTTAAGATTACAACCAAAGCAAATGAGATCACAAATATTGGTGAGGAAAAAAATATATATATAAATAGACATCATTTTCTTGAAGTTAGAAAAAGTCCTTAAGCACAATGTGAAACCCAGAAATCTCACATTCAAATGAATTTAGAAATCTCTTGAGATTTGCTTTAAAATAGTCTGGGTAATGAGGGATGGTAGGGGATAGGAAATGCAGATGAAACTACATTGCCTGGAGGTTCATAGTTGTTGAAGCTCGGTAAGGGATATAGGAGTTAGTTATTTTCTCTCTATTTGCATATGTTTGAGAGTTTCCATAATAAGTTTGTTTTTAATGTTAGAGGAAACCATTATTTCTTTTTTCTTCTGCCTGAAGTCAACAACTGATAAAAAGATCAAATAATTTTGATTTTCTTATTAGATCAGCACACTCAGAAGATGACAACAGCTTTTAATTGCACGGTTAACATATTCAATATTCTGATAATTTCAGTAAGTCTAAAAAATTCTTCAGTACTGATCATTGAATATAATGAAAAGTCTGGAAGGATGGATGAAAAAGGGAGGATAAAGAAAATTCCCTAGGAAGCTTTTTGTTTGGTTTATTTGGCGGGGAGTGGTGTTTTGAGACAGAATCTTGCTGTGTGGCCTCAAACTCATGATCCTCCTTAGTCTTCTGAGTGCTGGAATTACAGACATGTGCACTACCACACCTGGCTAATTATGTCATCCTTTTTTATTTGTTTGTTTGTTTTGGTGGTGGTGGTACTGGGGTTTGAATTCAGGGCCTATGCTCAAGTGGTAGGCAGGTGCTCTTCCACTTGAGTCACATCCCCTGCTCTTTTGGGGTTAGGGTCTTATATTTTTATGCTTCCCACATACCAATTGTAGTTGGGTGCCACCACACCCAGCTGTAATTCATTTGCTTAACTTTTCATTGAAAGCAACTAGACTTTCAAGAAAAAAATATTTAGAAACATCCAAATATGCAAGATACATACAAGGATGCTCCCTGAGGCATTGTTTATAATGTACAATAGAAAAAGTTAGAAACAAGGTAAATGTCTATCAATAAGAGCTACATGATTATGATATATAGTGATTCATTGGACTCTTGGTTCTATCAAAATGAATAAAGTAGATCTATATGCCTGACAAAATCTGGATTATGCTGATTAGTAAAGGGGGTGAGGGAAAACAGTTTTAAAAACTGTGTTAAGATTTATTTTATGTGAATGATATTCGGGTGTACAGAAGAAAATAATTTGGAGGAATTTTCACCAATGTTAACATGAAGAATTAATAGGACAACAACTACATTATGTATCTAATGTTTGGATTTTTTTAACAGTAAGACTACATTTCAATTGAGTAAAAGAAAAAAAATACCAAAAAAGAAAAACGTGTCTTGATTATCAGAATATTGCATCCTGTGAACTAGATCAAGAGTTATGCAACAGTTGAAAGAAATGAAACATGCCCTGTAAGTAATGTGAAGGACTAAGGAGCCAAGATTTTGTCAGTAGTTTAACTGGGTACATATTTTATTGCCATTTAACAGATTGCTGAGGTTTGAGGTGATTATATGCTGTGCTCAAGATTACATACTAGGTTAGTAGATGCCAGTGACTCCCACCAATAATCCTAGCTACATGGGAGGCTAATATCAGGAGGATCATGGTTCGAGGCCTTAAGACCCCCATCTCCAAAATAACCAGAGCAAAATGGACTGGAGTTGTGGCTTAAGCAGTAGAGCGCCTGTTTTGTAAGCACAAAGCCCTGAGTTCAAACCCCAGTCCTGCCAAAAAAAAAAAGATTATATACTAGGAAGTCATTAACTCAAATACAACTCCAAAACCCTAACATTCAGCCACCAAGCTATGTTGAGCAAAGGTTCTTATTAGGCCCCATTACATATCTGCTAACATTCAAAATATTTATTATGTGTACATAAACAGTACTTCCATATGCCACATATATTCATATCACACAAATCAATTTAAAAAGTCAATTCAATAAAATGGGCAAAGGAAAAATACAAAAGGTGGTCAATAAATATTTGAGAAGATACCTGAACTCATGAGAAATCAGGGAAATGCAAATTAATACAGGACTGTCTCTCATTCTTATAAAGAACATTATAGATTTCTACTATACAATCAGAGAGTGAAAAGAAATTTGTACTCATACATGGTTAGAGTGCATTAAGATAGTCATTTAATATTAAATGTCAGGCCGTGTGCTGGTGGCTCACGCCTATCATCCCAGCTACTCAGGAGGCAGAGATCAGGAGGATTGCAGTTCAAAGCCAGCCCAGAAATAGTTTGAGAGACCGTATCTCAAAAAAAACCCCTCACAAAAAAGGGCTGGTGGG